AACGAACGCCGCCTGGCTCTGCCATCCCTTCACACAAAGCAATCCCAGTCCCGGCTATTCTCATCTGTGACACCACGATGGTGGAACGAGCTACCACACGCCATCAGAGCAGGGGCATCCCTCTCTAACTTCAAGAAGCTCTTGAAAACTCATCTCTTCCGAGAACACTTCCTCTTATAACACCTCTAACTCCTAACCTCTAACATGCACTTCCTGTGCTCTTCTTCTTCTATCCCCTACAATGATCTTATATTGATTGCACTTTTTGTTTTGATTGTACTTTTTGTTAACTCTTACTTCCTTCCCTAGGTTTCTACCCCATTGACGTGATATGTACTGTGAGCTCTTACTAGTATTTATTGCTGCTCTTACTAGTATGTATTGTCAGTTGTAGATCTGTAGTTGATGCTCTGTTGATGCTTATACATGCCAATACTAAATTGATGACAAAGTAATGATTACCTACTGTAAAACTTAAGGCACAGACTTATCTAGCTGTCATCAGGCTAATGGTTTTGGGCAGTTTTCAGAGGCTTTTATTGGCAGCCTCACACAAAGCCTCAAAATGCCTCAAGTACTGTCCAAGACAGTTATCACATAAACCTGTCAGCATGTCTCTATGTCAAAACAATGAGTCACAATGAAACTAACAGGCATGGTTTGACATCTAGCCCAATTACTTAAGCAAATTTTCATCCCTAAAGACCGACAAATTTATCTTGGGCCTTGAATTGACCATACTTGTGTATCAGCCCACTTAAACACAAATTTACAGTGTACATCATTTGAATTTTAAAAACTATTGCTAAGTAAAACAACAAAGAGGAACCTCTTGGGTCAGTCCCAGTGAACAGTCTGGGAAAAGGCATCTTACTAAAACAGTGAAAACAAGTCAGACTGTGGCAGCCTTGATCACATGAAGTCTAATTATCTACATTTCATCAACAAAATCTGCATCAGCTTTCATTGAAATTAAACAGTGTAGTCTACCCAATAAGCAGGCAGTACAGCTTACTGTATGTCTGTATACCATATGCCTACTAGTATTTTCTGTAGGACCACAACAAAAGGAACTACATTAACTAACAATTTTTATACTAACAATATGAAATCAAGTTGCATTTCAAATTTGGGGCTCACAGTTTAGCTTTTAGTTAGCTGCTTATATGCAGTGTTCAAAAATAGATGAAGTTAGTGACATGCACCACTAATGAGTGACAGCGGGGAAAGAGAGGTGAGAGAGGATTGAGAGACAACATATTTGGGGAGAGGGGAAGGTAATCTATTGAACTGCAGTGTGTATTTTTGGGTATCCTATCCACAAATGAATGATCTGTCACATTGCTCAATCCTAAAGATTGTTTTTGCAATGTACAGATTTGGTCACATTGCTGGTCAGATTTTGATCAAGGTCAAAACAAGGAGATTTGCTGAGGCCGTTTCTCTGTGTTTAAGTTTTCTTTTCTTGCTAAGCTGCAGTTTAGAACAGGCTCAGTTAAACCAGCTGAACACATGTTTGCAGTTTGCAGTTTGTTTATTGTGAGTGTGACTTATAATTACAGGTGACTAAAAGATTCACATGTGGTTCACCTGACATATAAATAGAACAATGGGCCCTCTTTGCTGAGCAGCAATAATGGATGCTGTAAATTGTCCTATTTAGTTTGTCAGATAATCAATAAGCTCCCTAATGCTATTAAAATGACTTACACTGATTTGAGTAGTTTTTAATCAAATATTACATTAGTTTCAAATGTAAGTGCCAGCAGCTGAGCTATTACATAATAAATAGAAGATATTGGATAATATAGTTTAATTTGTGGTTATGTTAAAAGATATGTTTTTAAAAAATTTCCTGAACTGTACATATATCCCCTTAATCAATACAGTCTATGCTCTTAATCCTCAGCTAAACCCTGTGTACAGCAGGTTTATCTAGTATTTTGCATACAGTACAGTGATCTCTAATGTCAGCTAAGTGATTTGTAGAAGGCACAGCAATCGGGTTGCTTGGGACTAAAACAAAGCTGAAAATGTATAGGCATTTTCATCATCAAATTACTTCTTCAATACAGTTTTTCATAAAATTCAAAATGTGTCTAAAACGTATGTAATGCATGAAGTAAATGCACGCATGTAAAATGCATGCTTTGTAAGGGACAACATGATTAGTCTGTAAAGTGTCATTGGACTATGCCAGAATCACAGTGATCAACTATTAAATGCGGTCCCCAAGTCTGTTTTACACAGAGAAGCTGAAGGTAAAACACTAGAATATAAAATTACTGCCTTTCAGCCGGACTGCCTGGCAACCTGCCACATGAAGCTTCTTAAATTCAAGAGGAAGTCAAAGACGGAGAAGGGATTCAGTGCGGATAATAAGGCATAATATCCTAAATTCGTAGCCTCTGTATTACAGCGTCAGAAGCATACAGAAGCATTCTTGTATTTTGGCAGTGAAATCCATCTATACCTTGTGTGTGTGTGTGTGGGGGGGGGGGAGTATTGCATTAAGACATGCAAAATAACAACATATTTCAACTCATATTCTTGGATTTAAAACATTCTGAGGTGATGATTATGAATCAGTGCTGACTGAATGACAGCGTCTTTTCATTAGTTGCATGCATCACGCTACCACGGAGGAGAGAGAGGAAAATGTGAAACATATTGTAGTTCACTAATGTAATTCATGCAGATCCTGGTCTTAAAACAGACAGGGGCACGAACTGAAAAAAACAAAGTGTTTTAGTGGACACTTTCTCCTGCCCACAAGCACAAACAAATGAGCATACATAAGGTGTTCAAACAAAATCAATGGAAGGAGACGTTAAATAATAAGTTTTTAATACAGTATGTTGGCATGTACTTTCCAGCACCCATTTAAGACAAGGGTCATTTTAAATTGTGACCAGACCATCTAAACAGCGGGGATAACAGTTTCTTGACGATTTAATAACTTTCAGAAAAAGAGAACACATTATACTCAACTCTTCAAGTAGGCTCAGCTCTGAGCAGGGTAAGTCTGAATAAATAAAAACAGCTCGCAACCACACTTTGCCCATGTCTGTCTAGTATTTGCACAGTGTTCCTGTGTAATCATTAACTAGGCAATAGGCTTCAACAGTAGAGAAATAGGGAGTAAAGGTTCCAAATGCACGGCCATGCAATATTTACTTCTAATTCACAGTATGTTTTCAGGAGTAGCACGACATTTGAAGGAGCTTTTCATTCACTTGAAGAGATACAAGTGGTAATAAATAAACCTGTTTAAAATGAAGGCATCCCGCATTCATGGTGATATGCAAAGGGGAAGTGCTTTGAATTCATATGGCATGTTTAGATGTTGTATGCAGGTTCTGGGGTTATGATGGGTGTGTGTCTCTTGGAGGGAGGGTGTTAACTCACTTGATAAAGCAACGTGCACCCTCGAAAGTATATCCTTCTTCCCATCCAGTGGGAAGGTCTGTGAAAGAGGGAGAGGTGGACAAAAACATGTCAATACAAACTGGTGCAACAAAGAGATGGCATGTATATTAAATAAACTTGGCCTATGCTGTTAATTCACACACACTGAGATGCAGAGATGCATCGATTAGTCGATTAAACAATTAGTCGACTAAAAACAAAAATTGGCAACTGTTTTAAAAATGTATTTATCGTTTCTGTCATTTTTCAAGCAAGAATGCCAAACATGAGCAAGATCCAGCTTCTCAATAGGATTTGCTGCTTTTTTATATTATAGGGAATGAAATATGTTTGGTTTTGAATAGTTGGTTGGACAAATTAAGCAACTTGCAAATTTTACTTTTAGGGCAGCAACTAACTATTATGTTCATTATCAACTATTATTAGTCAGTTGGTTAATTGCAGTTAAAAAACTACCCATCACACTCAATGTGACATCTTGCCTGTTTTGTCTGACCAGCACAGACAATTTACTGTTACATAATGCAAAAAATCAGAAAATCCTCACAATTGAAAAGATGAAACTAAGAAATCTGCCATTTTTGCTTGAAAAATTACTTCCAGGATTAATCAGTTATCAAAATATTTGAAGATGAATTAATTTTCTGCCAATCAACTGAATTAATGGACTAATTACTTTAGATCTAATAACTTTGGGCTATGGAAAATTCTGCATTATTACTTTTGTTTACCTATTACAGACTACCATGATTATTTGGTTAATCTAGGAAACAATCTGTAAATCAATAATGAAAATAATCGTTAGTTGCAGCCCTGCTGAGATGCAGCAGCCACTCAATCACATTAGTGCAAATGCTCCGCAGTCTGCAGAGACTTCAGGTTCTTTGAGAAGGCTGCTACAGAGTTAGTCGCATGTTAACATGCAAGGAGGTCATTTTACCTTGTAAAATACTGCGTTTAAGATTGGTTAAAGGTTTTTAAGTGTCGGCACAGATAAAGGAAGCGACTATGTTGATTTGCAGGTAACCTTTACTAGCTCCTGAGTCTACAGCCGCTGTGGATCTATGTGTCAAACTGTAGATCTCTGTTTAGTGGACTCTGTCTCTATAAAGCTATTTGGGCAACAAGCCGTTAGTTTATTTAACAACAATAAAATGCTTCCAAAATTAATTGACATGCTGGTGGTTGTTAGTAAAAGTCGTTGCTTTACAAGTTCACATGAAACAGTAGGCTAAGCTAACATCCCTCCGTCAGCTTAACTGGCTGACCAACCTCAAAAAGAGGCTGTGCCTCACGAGGAAAGTGGCACGAGCAGGGCAGAGGTGGGCATGAGAGAGCTCACTTTTCACTCAGCACGAGCGACAAAAGCACACTCACGCGTTAAGAAACACAGCATGCATGTCACAGCCTCTCTCTCTCAGTGTGGGAAGTATCGGGTTTGGGGATACGGGCAAACAGCAACACATGACGGCGAACATTAGAGACGTTAAACATAACAGAGAAACTTGACCGCCGTTAAGTGACACCTTACCTGGAGTTTTTCTGTGCCCGGTTATTACCGCCTCGCCACTTACTGGATGCAGCCAGGTTGTACTCTTCGCTTCCTCGCTGTTGAGAGAGGGAAATGCATTCATTATAACACGGTGACTTTGTTCGAATCCGAAATGGGCAGACGTGACTTGAGCTTTTGTTTTTGAAGGGATAGTTACTTAATGAAGAAGACGCGTCCATCCCGAGTAACCCCATAACTCCAGGAAGAAGGGAGACAAGAAACCCACTCGGGTTGTAGATCCGCCGCCATGTCTGGCAATACTGTATGACAGTCGCGCGGCTCCGCTCTCGCTGGCAGCGCGTACACGGAAACCTTGGCAACGGCGGATGGCTGAGAGGAGGGCAGGAGCTCAGGGGGTAGGGCAGGCAGGTACAGTCAATTCATTTGGCATGTTAAATACGTTAACTGATAGACACATCTAAATAGTTTTTTTTCTATGTGGGAGTATGGAAGGATATTGCTGGATGAATTCTCTTAAAACTCATTGTGGCTGTGTTATTATTGTCTTTTTTGTGGTTTTAGATGAACATTGTTTTATACTGGCAGTGTTATTGTTGCCTTTTGCATGGCTGTGGATGCATATTTTCTAAACAAAGACACCTTTCAGTAGTGTGAACAACAATGTGGGCAGGGCTGGATTAACATGCTATAGGCCCCCCAGGGCAATATTGATCTGCTGGGCCCTGTGTGTCTTTTTCACAGTCGACAATTTAACTTGTTATTGCGGGGAAAGTACAGGTGTTACATATAACATTAGCAATGGATCCTTTATTTCAAGGTTCAGTGTAATATTTAGGAGGATCTATTGACAGAAATGCAATATAATATCCATAACTATATTTTCAGTGGTGACCTTACATAATGAGCTGTTATGTTTTTATTACTTTACACCGTGTGTCCCCTTACATGGAAGCCACCATGTTGCGCCACCATGTTTCTACATTAGCCCAAATGGACAAACTACTCTATAAAGCAAGTTTCCTCACTACGCTGAATATGTACAAGAAGAAGAAGAACAAGTAACGTTAGTAGTAGTACTAGTCGACTAGTTTATTAAAAGTAAGAAAAGTAGAGAAATTTGGACAAATGGAGGACCACATATATTATTTAGCACAAGAGCCAACAGAGCGAGTCGGCCACCATAGGCTCTCCTGCGCACTTGGAAAGGGAGGGGTGAGCGGTGACTGGTGCCTTCATGTGGTGTCAGAATTTACATTTATTCATTTTTAGCTGACGCTTTTATCCAAAGCGACTTACAATTGCTTTGATTGCATTAAGTGTCTTGCTCAGGGACACAATGTTGGATGGGTCACAGTGAACCCGGGTCCCTCACAACAAACGCAGGCATCTTATCCATTGCGCCATCAGGCGTCTTATCCATTGCGCCATCACCACCCCTTAATCTTTTTTTCCTACTGAAATTTTTATTGCAAAAAGAATTAAAATGGACATCTAGAAGTATGCAAAACTTTGATTTGTGCAAAATCACATATTGCAGATACATATTTTGCAAACGTAGTTTGTAATATGGTTATAACGGTTAGTTTGCTGAGCCAATGGTTACAATTCCCAACAACAACTCACCACTAGATTCCACTAAAATTTGCACACTGCACCTTTAAGTGTCCCTGTAAGACACAGCAGTGTCAGTGTGACATTGACAGGAAACTGAAATTGAAGATGCTACATGGAATTCAGCCATCTTTGATTTATTATTTACACCTGTGCGTCTCCTAAAAAAAATTGTTCATATGGTTCATATTCTTAAATGCATTTTGTTTAATCAAATAATCTAATCACCATGAATTAATTTAAGGAGGTCAGTCGGGGCACAATAGCAAATTCTGCCCCGGGGCTTGCTAACTGGTTAATGCAGCCATTGTACCATAGTACTTGTCAGAGACAGTCTCCATGAGTGCTCAAGTCCAGCTTTCTCTCTCCCCTCATTCCCATGATCTTAAAGTTAAATGCCAGAAATTGTACAAAAAGAAATATGTAGGCACAAAACTGAAAAAATGAAGGTCTTAAAACTAGATTTTGACACTGGGGTCCTTCTTAAGACAGTGCCTATAGGCCAGGTAACAGGAGCGACCTTATGGCCCCTAACATGTCAAATTGTTGATGGTATTGTGCTTTACTGGTAGGAAACATATTCCAAAACAAATGGACAATAAAATTATCACAAACCAGATGACATGCAGTAAATCTGCAGCTTTTGTGGCCCCTGTAGTTCTGGTGTCCTTGGGGCAGTTGCCTGCGTTGTCTTGTTGCTTATCCAGCCTTGCATTGGCCATGGGGGTACAGACACAAACAGTCAGACACACACCGCTGGCGAACACACACTTTCAACTCTACCTTTAGATTCTTGGTCTCCACCTTCTCTCATTGTGCTGTGAAACTGCAGCATCAGCCTTTCAAACCATACAAAGACAAGTCATCCAACACTGCTGTGCCTGGCCTGTTTGTTGGCATTGTGCTCTGGTAAGCCACTGCTTTTGAGGCGGCTGGTGGTGGTGTTGGGAAGTGGACGCATCTGCCAACTGCCAGGTCATCCACTTTGGAGAATAACCAAATAACCTTTGCAATAATAATGCAAAGGTAGGGGAAGCAGTTAGGAAGTTGGGCACTGATGCCTGGTCAGATGTCAAACACTGAGCCCTTTGTTTTACTTAGGCTACCTGGGGCAGAGAAGCACAGTTTTCTGGTTATATGGAATACAAAAGAACTGCTTGTTTTTCCCCAGTTAGTTCAGACAATGGAAGAAAGAACACACAAATATTCAACAAAACTGAGCTGCATGTGCCCTTTTGATTAACCAGGCATCAATTTCAGATGGAGTGCAGAGGCTTTGTCGCATAATGCACAGCTAAATGCAATCCATTCCCTAACCTTTAATCAAATCTTTTGATTATGAAATTCAGACTTTTTGAACAGTTAAAGTACCTTTTTAAGGAAATAGGTGCCTTACCTTGCTTGCCCAAGCCCCAGCTTTTCCATCTCTATTTAATCCCTTTCAGAATATCTATGAATGAGATCCATTAGGGTGGAAATGATTGGATTAGAGGCTGATACCTACCTGTATGTGCTGGTATACCCGTGGGACCTGAAAGTGAGATAGTGTCTGAAAGCCAGAGTCCCTGTTTTTCAGTTTTCCAACTGGCAGATCTTCTTAGTGAGTCTATTTCTTGCCATTCATAGCATTCGGAAAAGAAAAGTGAAACATACAAGCATTATTTCTAATTACTGACTGATTGAAATTATAGGCTAACCTGACATATGACATACAAAGCTTTGAATTAATAGGTATATTAGTCAAAAGTATTACTATAAAAGTATTTCTAGGGAAAGCCAAGACACTGATTTAAATTCAATTTCCCTTTAATTGACTCACAGGATTCTGAGTTAAAGGGTTTTTTGAGAACTTCCCAGCTGCCCTAGTCAATATGCAAGTTTGCATGGAGTTATATTTTCAATGTCTGACTGTGCTGAAATAATAGAAAGTCCAGCACTGTGGGTCAGTTCATGTAATTCTTTTTTTGGCAGGAGCATGCATTTCTCAACTGCAGCCCACAGTTGCCTGGGTGAATGATAAATGCTTCACTGTACTGTAGCTTATCATCAGCACTCAAGCAGCCCAGTACCATTTAGTTTAAGTGGGAGCCTAAATGAGAGTGACAAAATACATTTGTCTTTCTGCAAAAAATAGAGCTAGTACAGGACGTGCATGTGATGCTGAGTGTAAACCCTTCTCATCAGCATGTAGTTGAGTAATACACAATGGAAATATGTGGAGAACAAGCAAAAAATATTTGCAGCCATTAGGTCCTTGACCCCTGCAGATTTGTTTATTCATTTTGTCAGGCACAGATTTCTTTGGGATCCAATAAATGTTACGCTATACTTACCAGAGGCTCTGGTCGTAATGTGATGTACATACTAAATTGACTCTGTAGAGACTTTGAAAGATCAGAAACTACAGAAACATTTTTCTGTTGTTTGCAAATACAAGGCTGTGTTACACTTTTGTTTTACAGAGAATAAAAGAAACAAGATTGAAATAACACAATGCAGCCAGCTTCTCAAAGACTCAATTGATGTCCGTAAGGAGACCCAGGGTCTGAATATGTAAAAGAGAATAATTTTTAAGTACGTGGTGTTGTGTCTAGTTAACATTGTGCAACACATTCTTACATAATTGCACCGTGCTCAGCAAAGCGAGGGTTCTCTGCTCAGCGACAGAGGCCAGACTCGAGGCATCAGAATGTAATTAATGGTTGCACATTATCAAGCAGCTGTTGGAGGGCTTTGTTCTGCTGCCAGCTCAGCAGTAGCCTCGTGCCTGTCTGTGCTAGGTAAGAGGGAGGACTCTCCTCTTTAGACTGGAGCCACTCGGCATCTGTGCAGACCTCTCATCTGCTGGCATCAAAAGCCTTTACAGATAGAGCCATCTTTCAGCCTGAGCATAGCACTTTGAAATTAGTGGATTGGAAATGTGGGGATTTTTATTACATTGCCACCTAACTACCACTGAGGGGAAATTAGTCATTCTTTGATTAGATAAAAATAACAGTGCCCAATATATCCTCACGAGGTAATATTCAGCCCACAAGTACAGTGTAAAATGAACTTACTGGGCACAATAACTTTCTATTGTACTGTACTGTTTATCTCATCACACATTGCTCAATCATGTGAACATGATGTCATCTGTGCTGCTCTGATTGCAACACAGTATCATTTGACTGGCACGCATAACCCACAAACCAGTACAGTTACTAGGGCCAGCCAAGTCAGCAGGATAGGGTAATAGGCAACATTTGAAAAATTGGTCTTAATTCGATGGACTGGCGACCTGTCTAGGGTGTACCCCGCCTTTTGCCCAATGTCAGCTGGGATTGGCTCCAGCCCCCCGCGACCCTGTATGCAGGATAAGCGGTTGGCGATGGATGGATGGTATATCACTCATTCAGTTGTAGATGCAGAGGTATGCAGTAGTAGCAATACAGATGGTAGGAATATGGGTCACTAGGCTTTGAAGGTTTGTGGAAAAAGGACTGAGAATGTGCAGTTCTCACAACTCACCTCTGAGTCATTAAACATGCTTCCCTGAATCACTGTTAGTCACAGGCTGATAAAAACCCAACCCACAAATGGCTCTGTGTTTACCACAGCCATGACCTCACTGGATCCATAGACTTTTGGGATGCAGTCCAAATGTTTTTCTTTCCAGGTTTTATGAGATTTCCACTAGTGATATGTCATTAAGACTGAATGAGTGGGTACTCAATTTTGTAATTAAAGGATGCTGTAAGTGGAGTCAAAACTGAAGTGAGTCTGAGAGGAAATGC